AGTACAACTTTAGTACGCGGAGCAATCTGTAGAGCTGGAAGCTGAGAACTGGCGACTTTGTAGTACAACTTTAGTACGCGGAGCAATCTGTGCAGCTAGAAGCTGAGAACTGGCGACTGTGTAGTACAACTGCAGTACGCGGAGCATCTGGGGCGCTGGAAGATGAGAACTGACTGGCGACTTTGTAGTACAACTTTAGCACGCGGAACAACCTGTGGAGCTGGAAGCTGAGAACTGGCCAGTTTGTAGTACAAGTGTAGTACGCGGAGGAGTCATCTCTCGCTGCTGTGAGTCATCTCTCGCGACTGAGTCATCTCTCGCTATAGCCATCTCTCGCGGCTGAGTCATCTCTCGCTGCTGAGTCATCTCTCGCGGCGTGCAGGTTTGGCACAGTTCATACTGATAGTATTTGGTTGCATTTATGCAGGACAGGACATTCAACTGCTGGTCAATACACCACTCATCATACACCGCTCGTCATACACCCCTCTTGTCGTGGCAAAGATACAACCCAGTACGCTGTTGTGAGCTGCTGATCCTGCAGGGGGCACAAGTCCGGAGCGCGTGCGTTTGACTGGAGGACGCGCATGTTGGAGAGAACGTGGACGCTCCTATAGGTCAAGTTGTTCTTATATGAAACTTCCGCCGCCGGCTTGCCCGGGAACTACTTGTAAGAGATCTTAGGGCAGCAGCAGCATCGTGGCCAGAGGTAGGTGCATCCAATCGACCTCATCAGAGTGTTTCTTCGATATCTCTGAAGATGTCCCACCAGGTGACCACTTGTGTTCCACCTGGCGATGTGCCGGATTGTTGACCTCCCCCAAACGCAGGTCAGAACGCAAAGCAGTCAGCGGTCCACGAAACACCAGAAAGCATTGGTAGGCCAAGAACTCCTTCTGCGTTAGGAATGCAATCCGGTTCTCCAGGAGAAGAGGCATCACCAAGTCAGCAAGAGATTCGAAGTGTGAACAGCAGTGATAAGAGCCTCACGGAATGCCTGAGCCA